GAGGACATCTTTACCAAGCCACTGGGGATGCTGCACAGCGAGAGGGAGAGTTTCAGATTCAGCTGGAAAAGGGAAAGCGTCACCTTGATTCACCCCCAGCGGGAGGAAGAAAGTCAGAAACACATTGAAAGTGGAGAGGCTTTAGTATTAGGTTGGTGCAAAAGTAACTGCAGTTTTTATCATTAAAAGTAATGGCAAAATTTCTAAATTTCAATGGCACTCCAGCCTGGGCAACAGAGTGAAACCCTATCTCTTAAAAAAAAAAAAAAAAAAAAGGGAAAAAATAGATTTGTCAAAATTGGTTCAAAATAAGGGGTTGGTAGGGAGCTGGGTGGGAAGGGAAATAATGCTTCATTGGTTGTGAGTTAATAGTTTTTGTCAAAAACCATGGTTACTTTTGCACCAACCTAATAGTATTGATTGTACACTCTATAGACCTGGGGGCCACTGGGATTTTCCAGAATGACCAAAGAGAATCACCAAGAAGTGGAACCTAGGGTATCCTTTATACGCTTCTTGGTTGGCTGAAAGACGACTAAATTCAGCCTTGAAATGATGTTGTAATTTGGTGTATGGAAGCTGGTTTCTAAACTTTAAAAACATCATGTTATGTGACAGAAGCCAGTGCAAAAGACTATTGTGTGATTGTATTTATATAAAATGTTCAGAAGAGGCAAATCTAGAGAGACAGAAGGCAGATGAGTGGTGGCCTGGGGCTGGGAGTGGGAATGAGAACTGTCTGCAAGCAGACACGTGGGATCTCTTTGGCGTGACGGAAATGCTCCAAAACTGGATTGTAGCAATGACTGCACAACTCTGGGAATATACTGAAAACCACTTACAATGAGTTAATTTTACGGCATGCAAATTATACACTAATAAAGTTTTTTTTATAAACAGGTTTCTTTTTGCATGGAGGCTGAGGCAGGGACTAATAACTTCAAGGTTCACTCACCTAGGTAGCTCTGTGTGAATTCTAGACTCGACTCCACTGTTGACGTGGGAGTGCTTTTAGTTAAGATGTTATAGAAGTTCACCCCGTCTGTGTTCTGAAATATAAAGTTTATTTGGCTGTTTGTTTCGTTTTCCTATCATCAAAGCTGCCACACAGAAAGGCACATGGCTCTTTATCTTATCCAAGGACAGCTTTAATTTTGTAAATTTGTTTGGATCAGAAAGAAATACAGCTTTGGCTGGGCCCAGTGGCTCACACCTGTAATCCCAGCACTTCCGGAGGCTGAGGTGGGTGAATCACTTGAGCCCAGGAGTTTGAGACCAGCCTGGTCAACACGGTGAAACCCCACTCCACTGAAAACACAAAAATCAGCCGGGCGTGGTGGTGCTCAGCTGTAGTCCCAACTACTCTGCAGGATGAGGCATGAGAATCATTTGAACCCAGGAGGCAGAGGTTGCAGTGAGCC